TCCCATGATCCTCCAAGTAGGGATAGGGTTTAGGGTAGACACTTCGAACCCCAAACCCCTTTGAAACCCAAAACCTGTGACTGCTTTCCGTTCGTTTCTGCTTCGGTCCCCGTTGAGGTGACAGGGCCCAGGGTTTGGGAAGTTTTGGTTTGAGTGTTTGCGACAAGCGTGTGGACGTATTTTATAGGAGTGCAGGATCTAGGGTTTCGATCTCGGTTCTATAACCTGGCTCCATCGTTCAATGTCAGAAGGTTAGAAATAAGCATGCAAGACCCAGGCCACCGTTTCTCACAACCCTAAACCCCAAACAATCCTGAAAAGTGGCGCTTTACGGGCTGAGAAGTGCGTGCGGGTGCTCTTCGCCGTCTCAAACAAGGCTTTGGGGCTTAGGGGATTTAGTGGTTAGATCCTTGGAAGGTTTAGAAAGTTTTAGGGTGCTTCATAGAACTAGGGGTTTTCGAGTTCAAGCCTAGTTTATAAAGGTTATAAGGTTATATCTGATATAACTATGATACAACCCTTTTCAGCATGGGCTTGGANNAACCCAGACTAAACCCTAAACCCTAATAGCAGGTTTAGTGGGCACAAAAGATTCATCGGAGTACTCAGGTACAGGAAGCGAATCGACCCAAACCACACCAAGAACGGTCAAACCCTGAAGCCAGCGATACAATATGCATGATCCCGGAGTTGAAGGGCTTTTTTTGTTTAGGGTTCAGGCTTGGGGATCAAGGAAGTTTAGGGCTTAGGGCTTTAGGGGTTCAGGGTTTGGGGTTAAGGCTTGGGGATCAAGGAAGTTTAGGGCTTTGAGTCTAGCGGTTCAGGGTTTAGGGTTTCGGATTCAGGTATGAAGGTAAGACTATATGCCTGCACCCTAAAGCAGCAAGTCCGATAAACCCAAACCCCTTGACACCGCCATCGCCTCCCTCGCGGCAATGCCCTTCCTTCCAGAGACTCCAATATCCCTTAATTAAGGAATATACCTTCAAGCATACTAGGGATCCCACTATAATTTAAGGTATATTCCTCAATTAAGGGATATTGGAGTCTCTGAGCTGAAATGGGCGCTTGGAGCTTCGAGATGAAGGTTCGAAATCTCGGTTTTCTCCTAGATCGCCTCCTTCATCTGGGATTTTGTGGCGAGATTTCCATCTCGGAGGTTCGCAGACCCTTGGTTCACAGACCGTTTCCGGGAACCCTACGTGGCTCATGTTGCAGACCGCAGAAATGAATGCTAAGGGCACGCCAAAGCTTGCACAGGTTCAATGAGAGAAGTGCGCGCTCTCTACGGTGGACAGAATTTGGGGGTCAGGTTTTCTGCGCATTAATACGGAAAGGAAAGATTCTAGAAGCTACTGGGACTAGGACTGAAACTCGCCCCGTTTGAATATTCAAGTTTTCGGCCTAGCTATCAAATCCCGATCGGCCCCACTTGTAGCTGACTGTACTGTAAGACGCCCAATCCTCCAACCCGACTCTCGCGAACCACATAGGAAATTGACAAAAAGCAAGACATCACGTTGAGTCATAGAAACCCTATATTATATACTCCGCACACTTCAAAAGTGCAGGGGAACAAAAGACCGATAAGCATAAGGACCTGGGTACAGCCCTCAATTAGCTCGAGCAAACCGATGGTGGCGCGGGCCTTCTACCTCATCAACCGTGAACCAGCCAAAAAGCCTGATATGCAAGATGCAAACATGTATGTCGATATGCATCCGCAAACGAAAACCCAACCCCACACCCTGCAGACTCTACTCTCCTAGCCCCACCGCCCCCCCCCCCCACCACAAAAAAACAACAGACATGGCACTAAAAATGCATGAAACTGAACACAATGACGAAAATAATGACCATGTTGACCATCTCCGCTAAAAACAGACGAACTGAACCATGCCGACACTCGACCACAGTACTTCCGAAGCCGACTACTTGATACGGTTTAGGGTTTAGGGTTTAGGGTTTAGGGCTCCCCGTAACCTAGTAACAGTAGCAATGCTGATAAACCCTTGGCCCTAAATCGTAAACCCCAAACATCCCTAAAGTGCTACCTTTTGACCTGCTATGGGTCATGGCCAAGTGTCTGCGTCCGGCAGCAGCCAAAGCCGCCTGTGGAATCCACCTGAAGATCAGGTTTCCAAGTACTGTAGCCGTAGCCCCTTGTGATTTCAGGTCAGAACCCAAGATAAAACCCTAAACCATAAATCCAAGAACGCAGCAGTGTCAAACTGTGCACGTTATATGAGGGACTCTACTCTTGCCAACAAGGGTTTGGGGTAGAGTGCACTGCAAGTACATAGGCGCCACGAGGGCTAGTAGAAATTCCCAGAACACATGAACCCCGCAAGTTTCACACTGACCAGGGTTCGAAGACTTTTGTCATGGTATAGATCTGGGAGCTTCTCAAGTAGGTAAGTCTTATACCGGGCAGGTGTAGACCTTATGAGGGGTTTGCGAAATGCCTTTGAGAAGCTCCCATGTCGCATCTCAGCTCAAAGCAGCATCACCGCTGCAGTGGTACCCCAAACCTTCAGCCGACGCCAGGCCTTCTGTTTCCTGGAACTCGGAGTTTTACCCATAGGCCCCATAGTAGTTCCTTTTTGGGATTACCTTATAGGATTCTAAATATGAACCCCAAAAAGGAACCACTATGGGGCCTATGGGTGGTGTAGGGGTTTAGGACTGGAGCTGCTGCCGTCAGCTGTTGGCATGGAGGACAGTCTGAGAACGCCGCCGCCTACAAAGAGTTCTTCAGCGGAAGAGTGGCTCAAAACTATTGCTGAGCAACAGTGCCAAGCTTACAAAGTCGCGATGCGTCACCCATCATGACACATCCAAAAGACCGAATTGGGCCCGATCTGGGCAAGCAGTTATTGCGCATGTGACAAGGCTATGCGTGCGAAATTCCTCCACTGGTGCTCATGGTACTCCTGGTCCATGCCGTTGTACAAGCCGTGGCTATTACGGCTACGGCCAGTTCACTGCCCGCTGCCGGGCTTACGTCACAACTGACGTAAGGTGGCACACTAGCGGCCACGGACTTAACAATCTAATATACTGAAAAACGTAAGCTGAACCGGGAGTACTTCCATGCAGGGTCCATGTCAAGGAGCAATCTTCCAGAAAAGAAGGCTAGACAGCATGCCGGCCGGACGGGGGGCGGCATGCTCCAAGATACGAATTTCATGCAATGAATATCAGATTAGGGCAGTTTCAGCTGCAGGCAAGCTCCTCACCGGTTGAGCACCACATCCCCGGAGACCGCGCGGTGGTCGCTGCCCGCGGCGCGCGGCCAGATCTGTGACTGTACGATGGACTGGCCCACGGAAAACGGCGTCTTCTGGAAGTAGACGTAGTCCAGTCGCACCGGGTCGTCGTTGATCGTGGAAGGGTCCGGATTGCCGGGATGAAGCTCTGCCCAGGCATCTGTAAAGGTCATTGGAATTTGCCAATGGCGTCCGAAGGCCTCCACCTGCCCTCGTCTCAGAAGCTGCTGCGAAGGCTGAAAGTAGCCGGTGTTCAAATCCCCCATAAGCACGATGGGGTATGGGTGTCGGTTCTGCACCTGACTGAGGGTCTTAGTCACAAAATCCACAGCCTCCGTGATGACGTAGTCGCCCTGACAGCAGAGAGGATGCGTGCCGGATGCAATGAGCGAGTAGCCATCGGACTTTCGCCTCAGGGCTGCCCAGTTGATAGCGCGGCCGGCCGAGAACGGAACGAGGTCGCTGGCAATGTGCTCCCACTTGTCAGTCCTGAATGCATGGGAACCCGAGAGCAGGATCCTTTTTGTTTAGGGTCTAGGGTTTAGGGCGATTTTATGTATGCAACCCCCTTATGCTCCCACTTGTGTCCTGAACAAGATGTCTGCATCATTGAACTGCTCTGTGGCCCCTCCTGTGGCAAATGCCCAAACGTTGCCGGACCTCTGGTTGAGTAGATCCAGGATAGCACCCTTCTCGTGCCACATCTCTGGGATGGCCGCAATCTCTGGTTGCATTCGCAGCAGCTCATCCACCACAGGATGGATGCGACCGGCCAGTGTGAAGACGTAGAGGTTCCAAGTGACAAAGCGTGTGGCCGAACCCTGGGAGTTCTGATTCTGCCAATCGCTGGACACCTCTCTAGGAGGAGCACCTGCGGGCCAAGAACAGGGGCTCCCGCCCAAGGAGCACCAAGCATCGGCCTGAAGATGACAGTCCCAGATGGGATTGGGACTGTCCGAGTCCTTGGCGCACGCCACCGGCTCTTTCTGCTCTCCACACCACGAAGCCCGTGCCAAATGGAAGTTGGGCTTCTCCGTACAGCTTGGAAGCTCTGCAAGACCGCGTGTAGAGCCACGGAGCAAGGGCACTGAGGCCTCTGCGAGTGCCCCCGGTGCAAGCAAGAGAAGCTGAACGAAGGCCCACCCCAAGTGCATCATGACGAAATAAGCTCTGTGGGGCTTCGGGATGGAGGCTAGCAGCGACAAACTGAGACTTGAGCAGGAGTGTGCCGGTCGCGTGGTCCAGCCTGTTTGGAAGCATTTATGCCTGGCCTTCCAAGCTTCATGTCTCAAAGCTCGGAGACGGGCAAGGCCTAAACCCACGTGATTCTCTCCTGACCCGTTCTGATGGAAGGAGCAGAAGCGCACTTCTAAAACATCTAGGAAGTGCGCCAAAGACCCACAAAGCAAACACTGCGGCCAGGCTGCAATCTCCGCAGCGAGCGCCTCCGGGCTACGACCAGGCTCGCGCATGGCACGGCTGAGCGCCTACAGTGGGAGATGGTACACCCAGAGTGATATTAAGGCGCCTATAATCTATCAGCTATATTCCTACAATAAGGGGGGTATTGGGCTCTCTGGGTGGTACAAGTCAAGGAATGCATGAGGGCTGAAGGAAATTTCTGTCAGGTTTCGGAGAATTCTGGGAATCTTGAGTTGGGGCTGGTTTGGCCCGGTTTGTATTCAAGGATTTCGTCGGATGCTCCCTAAACCCTAAACCCTAGACCCTACGGCGATTTTTGTCGGGCTGTACGATTCAGAGCGGAAGGTCCCTGCCCGAGGGCTTGCGGACAACGACGACCTACAGCACGACGGTCCACTAGGTTACTATGATTCATTCGGTGAGAAACCGTCGTTTTTTGCTGTTTATCTAGGGCCTAGGCGCCTTAATAATTACCCATACTATTTGGGGGGTTCCGTATTATGATTATAGTATAATGGGCCCAAAACCCTATTCTAATTAATTGAAGCCCCTTTTTGTTAGGAACCGTTGTAGTGACCCTTTTAAGGAACCCTTTAAAGGAACCACAACCCTATTCTAATTATTGGCCACTATATTACCATGTTTTACCGTAGGCACAGAATGTTTGAATGTTAGTATTCAGTTCTCAGGACTCATATTAATATGCTAATGACAACATTATATGTCATAACGTCATATATCTATCTCACTCTTCGTATACCATAACCCACGAAGTGCCTGCGGCTTGCTTGCATCTGTCGATTCGGGCCGCTTGAATAACTGCATTTCTTTGCTTAAATTGCTGAAACCACGCAAGTAGAAAACCCCCGCAACCCCATTCGCCCAACGCGCCTTAAACCCCAAACCCGTTAAACAGAAGAGACACTCCTACACTTTAACTCAGAGACAGAATCAAAAAAGCAACAGGCTGCCTTGAGCAATTCCGCGTCCGAGCCCTGCGTCGTGGCGCCTCACCAGCAGAATCTTGGGTTCCTTGAAGGCTTCCTTAACCCTAAACCCTAAACCCTCTAGGGTTTAGGGTTTAGGATATACATTCTAAGAGCTTCTATAAAGAATCTATGGTACCTAGGGAGATTTGCGGCTTCAGGGCTGCGGGGTTTGGCACTTTTGGGCTTTGAGGCTTCAGGGATTAGGTCTTGGGGTGTAATGTAGGAACCTGATTAAGAAACCCTGGCTCTTTATTAGGGTTCTTCATATGAACCCTAATATATTGGGGCTATAGGGCCAGGGTTTAATCAGGTTCCTACATTACAAGGCTTTATCATATTGCAATGGGTCCCAGGGCATTATGAGACTTCATAGGACGGATTGGCTATGCTCTGTAGCTGCTTGAAAGTCGTGCTGCAGCCATGGATTCATTCCCGCATCTCACTGTTTCGGCACGTCTAACTGTCGGAAGGCCCCTCAGGGCTTGCTGAACCATATGGGCTTGTTGCTGGGCCTCGGGCTTGCACGTGGGAATGCAAGATGTAGCACTCGCAAATGACAATAACTTCCGCTTCAGAAAGTTAGGTTTAGCGCTTAGGGAGTATCTTCAGAAAGATGGCTATTACAATAGGGCTTGTGGATATACTCTGACGCTGCTGTATGAGGACGTGACAAGTACTCATAAGTATTCTGCTCGCCTGTTCTTAGGCTTGTTCCAACAAGCTCTGCGACAGAGTCTGAACACTCAAACCTGAGCAAGGAAGCATGATCATGAACCGTAAAAAAAAGGGGCCTCAATAATTGGAACGGGGTTTGAACTATGCTAGTTGTAATGGGGACTATCAAGGCATTATAATATTAGTTCTGCAGGCTTCTATCTTAGCCGGGAAAGCTTAGGTTTAACTTAATTCTTTGAGCTGTGCTTTCTGTGAACCGAAACCTCACCACATGAGGCTTCGGGGCTTCAAGCGTGTTCCATCTGGGGCTCATATCGTCAGAGGCTTGATCATTTGACTGCTCTGGGGCATGGTCTACGACTACATCTCCAAGACGGAACCCTAAAGAATCCTGCTTCTGAAGGCTCCTATATTATATACTACTATGATACAACAGAATATAACATAATACACGATAGATAGCCTTTGTTTAGTATATAATGTATGTTAACAATGATAAATAATGCATGCATAATCTGAGGTTTGCCAAGTCTTAAGGACTATTTTTTCAGTTTGAGTCCCCAAGTACCGGATCTGGGCCACTCGATTGCATGGGTTGGTTTGGGCTTTAGTTTAGTTCCGCTTCTAGGGCGGGTTTTGGGGTTTAGGGTTTAGGGTAGCTTTTGTTTGGGGTCTAGTTTGGTGTCGCTTTGAGGTTCACGGGCTTTTGTTTTGGGTCCAAGTGTGTGGTTCAAGGGACTTAGAAACAAACAAGCTGCTACAAGGGGGGGGGGTATGTTCTAGGGGACTGGAGGGGTATATTACCAAAGCCGTTCCAATATGAACCCTCAAACCTCATCAAAGCGAAGTCATTCAACCTGCACTGCGCGTGTGCGAGCCACCTGCCTTGGTAAAGTGCGGAGAGCTGAGACACATCGCTATAGTCACCTCGGGGGAAAAACCTACACAAGAAGTGTCGTCCAGTTGGGTAACCTTGGAAGGGTGTTGGTTACGACAGGCAGGTTTGATAATAAGCATCTTACAGGGCACCCTTGCTCCACCGTTCCGAACTGCCTGCACATGGCCTAGGTTAGCCAGTTTGCACTTCGATGGGCTTGGTCCTAGTACCACGAAACCTCGAACACGACAACTTGCCCAGGACTCAGCCATTTCTGACCGTCTCAAAACCGGAATAGAAGTCTTGTAAACTTTAACGAATCGAGTCTGCGAGAGTCGTGTCGCTTCAAACCTTGCGTCGGGCTTAGCATGGCTCAATGATGCCACGATGCTTCCCTCGCTGCGGCTGGGCGAGGCTACACCCAGGCCCCTCCAGTCAGCCTCTTTGGAGGCCTCGTGTGGGTTTTACAGGGCCTAGTAAGGGTTTTTTTATCGGGCTGTTATCAGTGTTGTGTGGGCTGCGTTTGGGGTATGTTCCCGGGCTTCTGAGTAGGATACTTAATCTGCCGGATTTCTGCTACAGGCTGGATAAGAAGCATCAAAGCTGTCAGAGACCGCTGCTTCCTCACATACGGCCTCTGGGCATTGGGAGAGGCTTGCAGAGGCCAGTCCAATGTGCTGAAGAGGCCAGGGGCACGAAAGCTTCTGCGTCGAGAACCAATCAATGGAACCAATATGCAAAATTCTGATTTGGACAGCGTCGCCATGTCATCATGGTGGTAAGAGCTAACAAGCTGCTATCATTTCCATTTCTACATCTGTACTTGCCCGTAGAGTCGTGATGCGGCTGCTGATGCTGGTAATTCCCTTCGTCATCGTCATGATGTTCCCGCTGCTTCTCTGTACACATACATACGTACATACATACATACATACATACATACATACATACACACATACGTACGTACATATCGTACATATCGTACATACATAACATAACATGACATAACATAACATAACATAACATAACATAACATAACATAACATAACATAACATAACATAACATAACATAACATAACATAACATAACATAACATAGCATAGCATAGCATAGCATAGCATAGCATAGCATAGCATAACATAACATAACATAACATAACATAACATAACATAACATAACATAACATAACAAGGCTCCAACCTCTCAATCAACCTGTCCACCCTAA